GTTCTGCATGTCCAAGCTGCTTGGCTTTAGGGTTTAGGGTTTCGGGGTTTAGGGTTTTGGGGTGTAGGGTTTTAGGGTTTAGGGTTTAGGGTCTTAGGGCCTTCGGGTTTTAGGGCTTAGGGTTTAGGGGTTCCCTGTTTGCTGTTGAACCGGCTCCGGCTTAAGGGTTTTTTTGTGCTTAGGCGTCTTCTAGGGCTGAGGGTTTAGTAAGGGTTTTTTTTTCGGGTTAAGGGCTTCGAGGGCTTAGGGCTTAGGGTTTAGGGGGTTTTGGGGTTGGGGGCTTGGTAGTGAAGATTGAGACTTAAGCCGCTTCAGCTTCCAACTGCCGCAGTCGAGCTCAGACCGCTCACATATTACCCTTCCTTCCCACAGCGTCCTTCAAGGGGGTTCCTTGGAGGGGTCTTTTTTTTAAGGGTTCCAAAAGGGTGACTGCTAATTCTAATAATAACCATGAGGGTTTAGGATTTAGGGCATAAGGTTCCATGTACGCAGGTAGCATATACTTTGGCCCCAAAGTACCTAAACATGGACGACTTCCATGGCAAAGTCTATACTATTTGGGCACATGGATCCTTAGGGATTGTACACACCTCTACCGGTAAACCGTAGACCTGAGTCAAATCCCCCTCCGCGAAGCCAAATGCAAAGCTATGCTGAACTTGGTCATTTTTGGCTGCTTCTTAACAGGTTTAGTAAACCAAACCACAAGTTGCTTCCAAGTACCCTTAAGAAGGCTTAAACAACTCCTGCCTTCGTGAGGCAAGCACTTGTGGTGTCTGTTCGCAGATGGATGTCGTAGCGCTGATCCTGTCGGGGTCAGTGAGTGGGGCGTGCGGGCAAAACGGCTGCCAGAATGCCTGGTGCTTAATTGCCCCTGTCGAGGATAGGAAGGCTTCTCCATAGCAAGTACCATGCTACATTTACCCACCTACCTACCTGCTAACCTACCTACCTACCTACCTACCTACCTACCTACCTACCAACCTAACCACATGATAGAACCCGTATAGTACAGTATGTATAGTAACACCTTGCAGAAGTCTCGAAAGAATCCTTGAAAGCACGACATACACACTTGCAGTTGCAGACACATGTACAAGCACACCGATGCAAAGTCAGAGCCGAACGTGGGATCTACTTCGGCGGTATGCGACATCCGCACTCCGAAGCTGAAACTGGCCTCGCCCTCAAGCCACTCTCAAGTAAAGTGGGATGTCAGAAATCCTCAACCCGAAACCCTATGAAGCAATGTCCTCAAAAAGAACAGGGAATACCCCATAACATCACTCCAAACTTGAGGAACCAACTTCTCCCCTGATTCCTGCACACGGAATCAAAATCCGCTAAACCCTAAACCCTTATCTGCAAGCACGCAGCCCTCTATCCAGATCCAAAGCCCCCAGGCCCCCGCCCTCAACCGAAGCACGCAAAATGTACAGGCCTTAATAACTGTGTAAAACGGGGTTTGGTTTGGTGTGTGTGTGTGTGTTTTCTGGAACCCCTTATGGTACCTCTTTGAAGAACCCTTTAGAGGAAACCTTAAAGGAACACCTTAGAGGAACGTTTAAAGGAACCCCTATATGAAGCCTTTCAAGAAACCAACGCAGCCCAGCCGCGCCTTCCGCTGGCGCGTGCGCATCACTTCAGGATCCTCATGGTTGAAGTTCGGCTTAAGGATTTATTTCTGAATTCTTTCACGGCAGAAAATATTCATCGCTGGGAAAGATGATTTCTGCTGTTCTTTTCCGAGCCTCTACCGAATCCGAAATTTTTGAATCCACACCCTGAGCCCTTCCCTCCAAGCCTGCCCTGCTTGGCTGGAACCGCAGTTCTAAATGAAGGCCAAGGTCCACTTCAAGAGAGCAAGCCATGGAAGCCTCCTCTTTCGCGAGAGCCATGGCATCCTCCCACATTATCCAAGCAGCATGCTGGGTTGGCGGCTCCAGGATCACAGTCTTTCGTGCTTGGCTGGCCTGCTTTTTCTACTTTCTTGTCGTAGTTTCTGGGTCAGACGCGCCAGAAGCCCACAACAAATCGTCATGCGCCAAACTTCAGTGCTCGGTACACTTCATGAGCAAAGACTAGTATGTGCATGTTGCGACTCTGCAATGAGGACGTTGTGTCGCTCAAATTCAAGCCACGAAAGTCCAAATGTAATTTACCTAAACCCGAAGAACTGAAGAATGCGCTTGGGATTTATATATGTATACACGCAACGTACATACATACATACATACATACATACATACATACAAACATTAATACATACATACATGCATACATACATACAGACATACATACATACATACATCCATACATCCATACATCCATACATCCATACATCCAGACATTTATACATCCATACATGCATACATGCATACATGCATACGTGCATATATGTGCATATGTGCATACGTGCATACACGCATACATGCATACATGCATACATACATGCATACATGCATACATGCATACATACATGCATACATGCATGCATGCATGCATACATACATACGTGCATACGTGCATACGTGCATACTTGCATACATGCATACATGCATACATGCACTACATTACATTACATTACATTACATTACCTTACATTACCTTACATTACCTTACATTACCTTACATTACCTTACATTACCTTACATTACCTTACATTACCTTACATTCTTACATTACCTTACATTACCTTACATTACCTTACACTACCTTACATTACCTTGCATTACCTTACATTACCTTACAGTACCTTACATTACCTTACATTACCTTACATGACATTACATGACATTGCATTACGTTACTACAAACAAACAAACATGAATACATACATGCATGCATACATACATACAGACATACATCCATACACACATACATGCATGCATAAATACATGCAGGCATGCATACATGCATGCATACATTCAGACAGACAGACAGACAGACAGACATCCATCCATCCATCCATCCATCCATCCATCCATCCATCCATGCATACACACATGCGCGCATGCATACATACGGAGGTTTTCATTGTGCAACATGCTTTCCCCACAGAGTTCCTGAAGGAACCTCGAGATTTAAACCCTTGAGACTAGTAAACAGGCTGACAGACTCCCTGTCTGTGGCTTCGCGAGTTTACGGTTTAGAGTTTAGGGGTGCTGGACGCTGAAGGTGACGCTAGGCAAGAAGTAGAAACAGAAGAACCGCACCCCGAAGCCCACATGGAACAAACAGAGCACGCCAAGCATACCAAAAGAAGTGAGTTTGCCCGCCACCAAAATTAGCACCGATACCCTAAACCCTAAATCCCCTAAATTAGCCCCTAAACCCGAAACTAGAACTCACATATAGAACACAACATGCAAGTTCGCCACCTGCAGAAAATGGCCCAAAGGCACGGGCCGTTCAAGCGGCCACGGCTTGCCACAAAGAGCGGGCTCTTCGTCCTTACTTGCAACTAAACTCGTTTACAGCCGTTCGTGGGGTCAAAACGTCCTTACTTGCAACTAATCTCGTTTACACGCGTTCATGGGGTCAAAACAAGGGTAACGGGGACTGATGGTCCCACTCAAGCAAGCACTTGTAACAACCCTACCTAGAAGTACCCATGCACATTGACGCAACCTTGGCCCCGTGACTGAAGCCTAAACGTTGGGTAACGAATGAACAGGGCCATTTTCGACCCTAAACCCCAAAGGCCCTACACCCCCTAAATCATAGAATCCCTGAGCCCTAGAGCAGTATGTAATGCGTTGCAGCTTGCTGGCTCTTCCAGAATCACAGGTTCGGAGTCTACTTCTGGAGGCCGCACTCAGGAAAGTCGAAAACACACGGCGCCGAAACCTGAAACCAGAGCCTCAATATCTGAAATCTTCCGAAGAAGGGCCTGCAGATCCGCATTGCTAGAGCTGCTCCGGTTTCGACAAAACACTTAGCCAGTGAGTGCTGAAAGATCTGCATTTGGCTACAGGAGGTGCAGCCGAAGGAATTACTCACTATTCATTGGGTTCCATCCAGTTGTTTGACTAGAGTATAGGGTTTAGGGTTTAGGGAAAATTAAGGGTTTGGGTGCCAATAACGTTTTGACAAAAACGTTTTGATCGAAATGCTTTGACCGAGTTTTTTTTTTTTGGCTGCTGGGCTGGGGCTGAGCAGGGCTGGGCTGGTGGGCTGGGCTGGTGGGCTGGGCTGGGCTGTGCTCGGGTCCGGGCTGGGCGGCTAGGGCTGGGCTAGGGGGGCGAAATTGGTTTATGAGAAAACGGAGGCAAACCCCAGAGTACGACAAGCAGTTGCAGCTCGCCTGTACAGCTTCTGCTGCCAGTCGCCAGTGAAGGCGGGGCAAAGCGGTCGCTCCTTTAAGCAACAGTTGATTAAAGATTTTGGGTTTTAGGGCTCTTCCCTAAACCCTAAAACCGTAAACCCTAAACCCCTGCCAACCCTAAACCCTAAACGCTAAACCCTAAACCCCTGCCCTAAGCCCTGAGCTGCAGACCGACAGATTTTCAGGCCGGAGTTGGGTTTTGGAAGAGGCAAAGGCTGATGATGCTTGTTTCTGTTGTCTCTCTTGCATCTGCGTGGGGGTCTGGGATTCTGTCGTACGCCTTCGGTTTTGGGCAGAAAGCGCCATGCTCTGAATGCATACAACCTTGCCGTCCGAATTCCTGAACAACGAACTTTTTTTCCCTAGTAGGGCTCATCATGAATTCAAGGTGCAGGGTCAAGGATACTCTGATTACGGCTGCCTAAACCTCAAGACTAAACCTGTTGCCAGGTTCAGGATTCCAGGTGCAAGGTCGCAGAAGTCATGACGAAGGCCCAGCATCCTAGCAAAATCCGAATACCGAAGCAAAAAAAAACAACTGTAAGCCCTCATCCAAACGAATTGCTCAAGCCCAAATGAGATCTTCAAGCCCCACAGCCTGAAAGCAACATCTGTCTATTTCTATTTCCTCCGAAACCTGTAGCCAAAACACACCCATCGATATCAGGTGGTCCTTCGTCGGGCGCTTCCGTGCCCAGTCGCAGGGGAGAGCGGAAGAGGCCATAGTAGCGCGGACGACGGTTGGGAAGGCCTCATAAGCAAAGGCCACTTGTTGCTTTCGGATGCAGTTCATGCATCCAGGGACTTCAGATAGTCTGTTTCAAGACTCGTAAGCAAGATAACCCTCAACGCATCTCAAACCATTTCCACTGTTGACGGTAGAAATCGTGCATTACCCTAAGGACCCTATACTGTGGGAATTATTGTATATTCCGTATTATGGGTAATGCCGAATTTATATCATCAACCGTCGTTGTACTTTTGGCCTACTTGCTACACTTCGTGAGCCTCAGGCCTGGGTCTGGGAGGTTTTGCCGCGCGCAACTCTAAGCCGCAAGCTTTCAATGCTTCGGATCTTAAGCACTGCATTACCTGAGCTCTACTCCAGCAGACTTTCGGCATGGTCCATGTAATGTACCATCGATAAAGTAAAGTTTGATATGTTTTCATCATTGCAGTACCAGTAGCAGTTCTGATTTCAGACTTCGCGCATTGGGGCTGATGGCGCTGTGGAATGTACCACCTACGCCTTAACCCCCAACTCTAACCACAAACAAACCCTGAACCCCTAACCTGAAACTCCGAACCCCTAAACCTGTCAGCCTTGATTTTCAGACCCTGCACCTGGAACCTCAGAGGTTTGCAACCTACGGATGATGATATAAACCCTGCATTGCCCAAAATAAGGAATATACCATAGCTCCCATAGTTCAGGGCCCTTAAGGTAATGCAGGATTGCTACCATCAACAGTATTGTTGTTTGTGCAACAGCAGGACTTGCAGGGAATCAAAACCCCTCTTGCCTGTTGGTAATGAATCAGAAACTTTTCCTACCAGGGGAACATGTCTCAGTTGAGCTCGACGTCTGCTAAGGCTAAGGGTAAGGTTTAGGGGTTTGTGGGTTTGAGGGGTTCAGGGTTTACGGCTTAAACGCCATCTGTTTTTGCGAGAGTGGCTCTTCAAAGCAAACAATAAATTAGCATTTTACCTGACCAAAGGCAACAACCCGTATAGAACCTTCTTGGGTCCTTTGGACCCTTAGGACAACACCCTAAACCCCAAGCCGTTTAGGGTTCAGGGCTTAGGGGGTTTAGGGCCTACTTGGAGGCCCAGGGAACTTGGTAAGTAGGTTATAAGTAGAGTTATAAGTACCCTACCCTAAATGGAAAAAGCCCAATTACAACCCCACTTATAACCGACTTACAAAGTCCCCTGGGCCTCCAAGGACGGTTTAGTGGTAGCCCAAACCCTAAACCCTGCACCAGAAGGCTGCAGCCGAAGATGCCAAAGTCCTCGGCGTCTAAGGCAAACTCAGTCAGCTCCCAGCCCAAGGTTGCCAGTGCCTCTGTTTAGGGGTTTTATGGGTTTAGGCGGGTTTAGGGCCTTGGGGTTTTAGGGGTTTCGAGGACTTGCGGCTGTCGGGTTCAGGGGTACAGGGCTTTGAGGTTTAGGGTTCAGGGCTTTAGGGTTTAGGGCTTTAGGGTGTTGGTGATTTAGGGCAGGGCTTATATGTTGAGATCCTTTTTCGCGGGCGCCTCTACCCTCTGCTGCTACGAACTGGAAAGAAACTTCATTTTCGGAGGTTTGTTGTTTTCGGGTTTAGGGCTGTAGGACTTTCGGATTTCGGTGTAGGGTTTAGGGTTTAGGGTTCAGGGTTTGGGGTATCGGAACTTCGGAAAACATCTTATTATAAAGCAACACCTATCATCTTCCATACATCGACAAGCGAACGCACAACTCCGAAACCTAAACCCACAAACCTTTGGAACCCCTCTACTAAACCCTAAGCCCCGAAGTGCTTAAACCCTCATCGCCGAAGCCATAACTCCAACCCAAGATCCCCCAGTATCGAAAGGCCTATGCCGCAAAAGCCTATACCCCAAAACCGTAAACCACTAAACTCTCAACACCTAAACACATAAACCCTGCATCAACAAAGCAATACTGTAAACCCTAAACCCAAACCTAAAACCCTAAAACCCTTAAACCCTAAAACCCTAAAACCCTAAATCCCTAAATCCCCTAGTCCCCCGAAACCCTAAAACCCTGAGCTCAGTTTGATGCCAAAGAGCTTGCACGAGACGGCGGCGGCATTCCGAACGCTCCTGGGCGTCGGCTCGTGGACTCCGGGCTGCGCTGTCTTTGCATTGTGCTATCTGTGCTTTTGGCCTTAAGGCTGTTTGGGGTTCTATCATGGAGGGTTTAGGGTTTAGGGCTTTATGGGGGTTTGTGGTTTTGGACTTCGGGGATTAGGACTTCTCGCGGGTTGAAGCTTTCAGGCTTTCAGGTTGGGGGGTGAAGGTCTCTGTGCGCTCTGCGTGCATGATGCTTGTGCAAGGATGAAGCTTGCACCTTTTGGGATTTAGACTTTGGGGTTTCGAATGCTGTCAACTTCCGTGCTTCTTTAAATCTTTCCCCAGCGCCCGATGCTCCCATATAGTATGTATTAGTTAGTACATATATACTTAGGCGTCAAAGTACCTCCGTAGGAACCCCTGTAAAGCCGAAGTATATACTAGGGTATGAGACAGTGCAGAGAAATAGGGTTCTGGCTTCTACACAGGGTTTGTCTGAGTGTTTTTTAGGGGTTCAGGGTCGCGTTGAAGAAATAACAAGGACCTTCGAATAGGATTCATGAGTGTTGTTGGGAATTCCGTGTATGCTATCACGGGGGAGTTCAGAACTCGTTGTCCATGGGCACTTTCCCCAAACATGAGAGAGCTTGGAAACTCGACCCGGTCTGGTTCGAACCATGTTTCAACCAACAAGCACACACACAGAGAGACACGTTCCTGCATGGATTCTCGTGAGAGTGGCACTGACGTTGGCTGCACTGTTCCAAACCTCATTCCAGGAAAATGGCAAGAGGGGGGATCCGAGAAGCTCGTTTGTGTTTGGGACCTCAGAATAAACATCTGATTATGATTCATGGTCAGGACTCTGGTTCCTTTTTGGCTCTGAAACCTTCGTTTTTTGACACTCACGAATTGTAAGGAGAAACCCTAAAAACAAAACCCTTAACCCTAAACTCTAAACCCTAAACCCTATGCGAGCGCTTTCCAAAGCCAAGGCGAAGAGGCGAAGCCGATGACGTTCTCCAGCAAGATGCGGCGCGGAGGATGATGCATCCTTGCTTGGAGAGGTTAGCCCTTGAAGTTTAGGGCTTATAGGGTTTAGGGACGGGATACAACCTACCTAACCTAATTGAAATTAACTAGGCAAAGGAGCTAAGACCCGATGATAACAAACAACCCCCACCCAACAACCCCCGCGACCGAGCATGTTTGTACATCTTGCGGTTGGGACTCAGCCGTACCTGTATCAACGAAATCGACCCTCCCCGAACCGATTCCGAGAACCTCCCGAAACCCAAAACCCTAGGTTTGTGATGGATCAAGCAGTTCACCATCAGGTCTTCGGGCTTTCAGGAGCGATACTGAGTAGAGGGTTGAAGGTTCCTGTTTAAGGAACGAAGCATTTGTTTCAAGGGTTTCTGATAACTTGACAAACATCCCCCCAGCCCTGCGACAAAAGGCTCTTCTCTTCCAGCACCCGGTACCGACGATGGCCCCTTAACCCTAAGCTCTAAACCTACAAATCCTACAAATTCCAAAAAACAACAGACCGATACTGTGATTTTCATACCCTGGTATCACCCTTACAGGAACCCTTAGCCTTAGACTCCTTAAAGAACTTGAACACTAAACCCTAAACCCTCAATCCACCAAAAAACAACCTCCAATCTGAAACCCTAAACCCTAATCCCTAAACCCTAAATAAACCCTAAACCCTAAACCCTAACCCCTAAACCCTAAAACCCTAAACCCTGATCCCTAAACCCTAAACCCCAAAACCGTCGAGGCGTCTCCGGGAGCAAGCTGACCAGGTGCAGCAGCCCACGGGACCTCCCGAGCTGCAGCTGGGTTTAGGGTTTAGGGGTAGGGTCTAGGCAAACCCGAACAGAAACTCGGGCAGGAATCACGGAATTTATGGGAGGGCTTCAATTGTTCTTTGTACGGGTCTGTGAAGCTGCATGGGGTATTATAGCACATTGCAGGGCTTTCTTTGGAGGCTTTCTAGGGGGGTCATAGGGCTTTCTGTGGTCTTGTAGAGCCTTACCTGCCGTCCTAGGTGTCTACATGGTTGATGCTTTTAGGTGTCTGCATGGTTCATACTTTGAGGATGTCGAGGGTTTCCCTCAAGGGTCCTCCGTTTAGGGGTTCAGGATTTATACACCTTACTGAAGAATCTCCTTCCCAACCCTAAATCTTAAACTTTGGGTTTAGGGTTTAGGGTTCAGGGTTTAGGGTGAAGGGTTTAGGGTTTAGGGCCCAAGACCCCAAACCCGAAAGTCCTTGAACGTCACCGAACTCCAAATCTTTCTAACCCGAGAAAGCTCGTACTTCATGTCGGCAAATGTCCAAATCATGGTCCTTCTGAACTACTCCATATAGTTCTACTCTTATTACGGCACCCTAAACTACATGACAACCACCCATGCGAAGATGCCTGTCATCCTCGTGGTCTTTCCTTGTCAGTGGGCTGTTAGCGGTTTGGGTTTAGGGTTTAGGGTAGTGATGGTGAAGGGCTGAGGGTTTGAAGTCTTGGGGGTACTAGCTTAGGATTTGGATTTAGGGTGCAGTAGGTTTGAGGGTTTAGGGTTTAGGGTCTATTGTAACGGTTGAGGTGTAAATGAGTTGTGCGAGGGTTTGCCAGTGGATATGGGTAGTTCTCTACATTCGAGTCCCTTTTTGGGTCCCCAATATAGTACGGCACCCTTATACAAAGGACCCTAAGGGACCTAATATTAGAGAACGAACCCATCTAGAACCCTTATTATAAAAATAAACCCTCACAGATCCCTCTAAACCTCTAAAGAGCCCCACAAAGGACTCTAAAAAGGCTTAAGCGGCTACATATCCGGCTCTCAGAGGCGACAGCTTCGGGTCTCTTCCATTGCTACCCATGGGCTCCAAAGTAGTTCCTTGTTGTGGTTTAGATTCAGGACACTGTAAGGTCATCCCAAAAAGGAAATACTTTGGAGCCTATGGGTAGCCTTAAACCCTGAATCCTAAAGTCAAAGGTTTGTGAAATTTTCTCTGCTTGGCCTGGTGGGCGCTGTTGGTTCAGAGACCCCGCAATCTGAGATCGCTGTGCCTCCAAGCCACCCATGAGGAGCTCTAGTATAGGGGCGCCGCAAAACTGGAGCAGTGTTTGGGTTCCAGGGTTTAGAAGGCCCATGAACTCAAAAACAAAAGCCGTAAGAAGGTGCAGGCTGAAGTTTGCATCTCGACCCTGTATGAAACTCTGAACCCTGCACCGTAAAGTTCGCCCCCGCGGGGGTTTAGGGTTTATAGGGTCCAGCTCCTAGGCTCGAGCCCGAGAAGGAGCTCGAGTGGTCGGGTGCCCGGCGGTTTGATGTTGATCCTCTAATGTAGGGGCCTAAATAACTACCTACACTATTTTGGGGGCTCCTTATTATAATCATTGTATAATGGGCCCCCAAAACCCCTATTCTAATTAATAAGGCCTCTACACTACTCGAATCTATGGGGCTTACAGTTTTCGGGTCGTTTTAGCCGCCCCAAGACTGCGTCCCAAGGCTGACAGTGTCTGGACTGGTATCCCGAACCCGAAACCCCTAAATCCCCCTAAAGCACCCAAAAAACCCTAAACCCTAAACCCCCCTAAACCCCCCAAAAACCCCTAAACCCCTAAAGACCCTAACAGCCCTAAACCCGAAGCGCAGAAAGGCCAAAGTCTGCTTTTCGTCGCTCAGCCGCCGCTTCCCCGACCGCGTGAAAGGCTGGCAGGGCGGGCCTGAGGATGCTGGTGAAAGTTAGGAGTTAGGCTAAAGTTTAGGGTTTAGGGTTCAGGGTTTACTATGGGAATTATGTTATATTCCTTGTTATAGGTAATGCAGGATTTATATCATCAACCGTAGTGAAAGTTAGGAGTGAGGATTAGGGGAACCCTTGGGGATGCAGACCCTCTCAATAAGGTCCCTGTTAGGAGAACCAACAATAGGGTTAAAAAGGGTCCCCTTTAAGGGGTCTCCCTAATACTACCTAGGAAAAATGGTTTAGGAGTTTCGCGGTTTATAAGGGTTTTAGGGTTTGGGGGTTTAGGGGTTTGGGGGTTTAGGGTTTATAGGGGTTTAGGGATTCAGTTTCGACTTGAGGGTCTAGGCTTTAGGGTTAGCTCCGGGGCGACAATGTCTTGAGACAAGGCTGTGTCGAGTGCATCGTACTATGGCGCTGACCTGTAAAAGCCTCTCTACCGAAGGCTCTTTTCCTCTCTCCCCACCCCATGCCGTATAAGGCGGCCAAACCACTCCTAATTCAGCCTAAACTCATGCCAGAGATGCCAGAGCGCGTTTTCTAGGGCAGGCCAGGGCAGGGGTAGGGGCGGGGGGGTGTAGGACGGGGGAAGGGCAGGGCAGGCAGGCCAGGGAAGGGGCCATCCAAACCATAGCCACACACGCTGAATCAGAAGCAGGCTTGGCCTTGCAGCAGGCTGCCTTTAGGACAGGGTTTTCCTTTCGGGTGTGGAGGAGTAGAGTTATGCCGCTAAGACCCGGAATGTTGCTTGCTACCCGGCTGCTAAACCCTCAGCCCCTAAATCCCCAAGCCCTAAACTCCCTGAAGCCCTAAACAACAGGCGTGAGACTCATCAGCCAGACGTCGGCGGCCAACGCCTTGCTTGCGTGCTTGCCGCTTTCCTAGATCTTCCAATATCCCTTATAACTGAGGAATATATCTTAAGTCTTAAAGCATGTTAAGGATCGTATTTTATGAAAATTGCCGGTACGGTACATTCCTTAATTGGGGGACACTGGAAGAGCTGCTTTGAATCACCCCATCCTGTCCACTATACCCATTCCCACTCTGCCCAGGATGCAATCAGTAATGTTTCAAGCGTTTCAGCTCAAGGTTACAATGCCGGCTGGAGACTTGTTGAAAGGGAGAGAAAGCTTTCAGACCCAAGCCAGCCTCCTGCTACTCCTTGACTACTTCTTTCCGGCCTAGCTTTTTGAGGCACTGACTGCCATAGCTAGCTACTACTACTACTACTTTCTTCACAGGTGAGGCCCATGTTTGCCTAACTACACAGGAGCCCGGAACACACAAGCAACCCCCAACCCCACACCGAAAACCCAAATCTGAAAACCCACAAAACCAAAATCCGAACCGTGAGCCCTGGACACCACACCCGATCCCCTCACCCTAAGCCTTGAACCCCACACCCCAAAGCCCTAAACTCAATGCATCCTAAACCCTGAACCCTGAGCCCAAACCCTACGGGCCCATGTACCCACATAGCATATACTTCGGCCTTAAAGTAGTCCCTACATAGGTACTTTGGTGCCAAAGTGGATACTACTTGGGTACAAGGACGCCCAAACCCGGGAACGTTGCCAGAGTGCATCGAGATCCTGGTGACGGAGGCACTCCTTGGTAGTGGCACAACTTGGGTGCTTTTTTGGCTTGGAAATTGCGGGGGTTCCGTGGGGTTTGGGGTTTTCGGGTTTGGGATCTAGGGTAGGGTTTCGGAGTTCAGGGGTTTAGGGTTTAGGGCCTAGGCTGTCGCTGGGGGACTTGCGGTTGAGGGTGTTGGGGTCAGGGGTTTGGATTCTTGGGTCTTTGGCTGGGGGCTAGGTGCTATGGGTCACGGCTTTATTAGGGCCTGTCAGAATGTAGGGTTTCAGTGTTTGCAATAGGGGTTGAAGTTGAAAGCATGCGGTACGGTCTTGTGTTTGAAAGCTACTTAAGTTACGGCTTGGGCTCAGGAAGCCTTGTTCAGGGATGCTGTGTTGGCTGTGAAAGGAGCACTTTTCTGAAGCGGAGGTGTTGGTGTACTGCATGGTGTGGAGTTCTGACAAGAAGGACTAGTTGGCTGAAGCCTAAACTTGAAGCAGGCTTTGCGCATCCATGTTTCAGCGGTGGTACCATGTCTGGTACCGGTGGTACAACGGTACCGGTGGTTCGTACCGGTGGTACCGTGGCATCGGTGGTACTCCATAATCACAGCCTCTCTGTGGCTGGCCTCTTCAGCAGCTGCCTCTGTGGGACCCTATAACGATCTTAAATTGCACTCTAAACCCCTAGAAACCTTAAGCCAAAACGCAAGTTCCTATGGCAAGAACCGGCAGCCTGAAGCAACAGACCGTAAACCCGGACCCCAGAGTCATCCAGGCCTCTATGGGGTTCACTCTGCACTAGAATTACGCCAAAGGCGCCAAATCCTAAATCACCGAACCCAGAGACGTCGCGGACTGGGAGTTGGCTTTCGGGCTATGTGGCCTTCCGGGCTGCCTGTGGTTCTGGCATATTTGGGTTTAGGGTTTGGGGTTTGGGGTTTGGTGTTTGGGGTTACTGATACATCAAAGATCATGTCAAAAAAAAGGGAAGCAGCGAACCTCGCACCCACATCCGAAAGCAGGCTTGCTCTGCCATCGGAGCCCGCCCAGCAGTGCTTATTGTATAATTCCACGTCCGAAGGAGAGCCCCATACAGTTCGAGAATATGGGGCTTTCCGAAAATAGTGCGATCCTTATCAAAAGGACCCCAAAATAAGGTACCCTAATTTCCGGAAAATCCCATATGTTCACAAAGATCCTTCCGTCGTGGAAGCCTTTAAGCTTCTGCAGTCATGTCTCGATCGTCTTCTTGCGCCAATCTCTGCTCCCGAAGTTGTGACAGTATGCCTGTCCGAGTGCCGGGACGTAAAGGAGACCCTGCAGACCCCATGCTTTCATAACCCAATGTGAGCAACCCAGGCAGGTGAGATAGGTCTAGCTCCTACTGAGTAACATCAGCGGATGGTGCAGGCATTCAGTCGGCATCTCTATTATAGGGGCTTCGTAACTAGAATAGGGTGTTGGGCTATAAAGACAATATAGTAAAAACAATAATGCGGACCGCACGCAGAGGTTCTGACGTCCAGACCCCAGACCGGCTCACTAGCGTCTTTTTCTCTCCATCGGTGGCCTGCTGCAGCGTCCTAGTCATTGTGAGTAATTGAGCCCGGGATGCCGGGCTAGCTAAAGCTGCATCCCGCGCGTAACGCCCGATCTTCTAGCCTGAAGGGACCCCCTGCACAGTCAGAACACACGAATGTAGGGGCCAAAATAATTACCAATACTGTTTTGGGGTTCCTTGTTAGCATTAAAGCATAATATACCCCAAAACCCTATTCTAATCAGTAAGGCCCCTACATTAATACCGTCGACTCAGAGGGCAAAGTTACCCATGGGATGCAGATCAGAGCCGATCTTGTTGGGCTCTGTCTACCTGGCTTTACACATGCCTGCAAATTCATGTTTGCATTGAAGCATCTCAGCCTTCTGCACAAGAAGTTCGTTGATCTCAAGCTGACATGTAACTGCGACGACGGCCCTCGACATCTGCTCCGCCTTGTCAAGAGAATCTGACAGCAAGAGTGCGCAAGGGAAGAAGTCGTTGGCGCCAAGATCCTCCCACTCCGAGCTCTCACCCAAAGCCTCCACTTCATAGCACCTGCCCTTCTTGGCAAGCACCCCTGCCAACGGAGAGCAGCTCGCAGTGCACTGCTCTAGCATCACCACGAACACCTCGGCATCTCCGAAATTGCCCGCGCTTGCACCAGCATCCAACAAGCCGCCGTGAGCCGCAGCATCCACTCCGAAGTTCTGCTTGGACTGCGTGGGACCTCCAGGCAGCTCCGACACGAACATTGAAGGGCAAGGTGTCTACACTGACAACCGTGGAAATTGTGAAACGTGACCTTGTAATTATTGATCACCCCCCCCCCCCCCCCGCTCGTGGCAAGCGTCGAACATGTGGCACAAGACAGGGACGAGCCATTTTATCTAGTTATTTATTTGTTTGTACATATTTGTTTATACATATCTTCATACCTTCGACTTCATAAAGACCCATCGTCCCTGAAGCTTACAACAGCTAATGTGCAAACTGTACATCTTGGACACAAACACCCTTAGAGCCACTATAATCCTAAGCTCCAACAGCTTGAACTCTAACCATCGCACTAGCAGCCTTCACGTGTGGGACAAACTGCCGCGCGAAGGTGTGCTTTGATGTTTTTCCTGCGATCTGGACGCAGGGCCGTAAGTTTTAGGGTGTGGGTATGGGCTTATATGGTATACCCTAAACCCTAAACTACTAGTCAGGGCTTCAGGGCTTCGGCTTCCGGCGCGAAGGTTGTATGTTCAGAGGCTGGAGGCAGACACTGCGGATGATGAGGTGGGTGTCGAGAGTTTAGGGTTGAGGGTAGGCGCTGGTGCGGATGATGATTTGGGTGTTGAGGGGTTTGGGGCGCGAAGGGCTTCAGGCTTGGTCACCGGCATCCAAACACCAAGGATTCTAAAACGCCCAAACATCCGGAATCAGAGACTGCATACTCATGTAAGACCTGACCAATCCTTAACCCTAAACTCATTACCCATAGGCCCCTAAGTAGTTCCTTTTTATGGTTTATATTTAGAATCCTATAAGGTAATCCCAAAAAGGAACTACTTCGGGCCTATGGGCAGCTTGTTGGCATGAATCTTGCAAAAAAGTCAGAGTTAGGATTAGGGGGAACCTTGGGGAGGAAAGCCACAAGTAGGGTTCAGAAGGGTGCCCTCTAAGGGGTCTCCCTAAAACTACCTGGGAAATAGCCGGAAAAGAGCCCGAGGAGTAGATGATAGCAGATCAAAACAACAGACGACTCTTCGGGATAAGGCTTTAGGCTTTTCCGGGTTTAGGTAAGGTTTAGGGTTTAGGGGTTTAGGCTTTTAGGCTTTCGGGTTAGGATTTTTCTGCGAGGTTCTCCCCGTTTCCACCGAATCCAGAAGCGTCCGGGTTTAGGATTTGGGTCTGGCTCTGCCAATGAGACTTATAGCTTTTAGGGTTTAGGGTCTTTGGGGTTTAGGGCTTTTAGGGTTTAGGGTTTAGGGTACCTATGGACGAAGGGTTCCAGCAAGGACTCCCCATCCTTGACGTCAACAGCTCCGCAAGTCCAGCGGACATGGCCAGGCAGCTTCCTTTGGGCGCGTATCCATGAGCCGTCATTCTGCGAAGCCACTTTTCGGCGGCTGCCTTGTCCCCGTTTCTGAGCCAACCTTCAACCAGAAAAATCTTGGGCGCAGAGCTTGGTGAGAGCGCAGCTCGCAAGCACTCTTCAAGGCACTCTTCTGCCGTTCCAATGTTCCGAATCTGCAATGTAGCATGTGGCTTCCTTTGCTGCTGGCAGGGACTCCAAGGTTCATGGTCAAGTTGTGAGTGGTCCGGGTTTAGGGTTCAGGGTCTAGGGTTTAAGGTTTAAGGTTTAGGGGGTCATACCGAGTCAAAAAAGCCAATCGAAGGTCGAACAGTGCCTAATTGACGGCGAAGATGCTCTGTCGAAATCAGCAGCACCCAGCACTGCAAGCAGGATGCTGCCAGCCCTTGTGCAGAAGTCAAGATCGACCTGGTGAAGCCACGGTGGCTGGAAGCAAATGTGTCAAGCTGCTGAATCATCTCCATAGTCATCTTTCCTGAGTTTACCATGTGGTGACATCGAAGCCTCAATTATGAGTAGTGCTTTTCCTCGATAGTCCATGCAGCCGATATATGTGTTGACTGGCATGAGGTACACACTCTGCCACATTACTAAGCATCCCTGTAGGCACTCACCCAACCCCTGATATCAATCATGCTTCATATACGACGATGAGCTTCGCGAGCTGGGCCCTTTGATTAGTCCTACTGGGGCTGTCTGAAGTGGAGGCATGTTCCTAGCAAACTGCTCTTGCATTCGGGATAGGACCTGTGAAAAAGCAAACCGAAACCCCAAAACTCTCCATCTGGGTTTTTATCAGGATTCCTTTAAGGGTTGCAATAAGGGGCTTTGTAAGGGTTCCTTTAGGGGCACCGGAGAAAGGTTGCCAAGGTCGGCGAAGCTGCCAAGAGCCATTGACAGGCTTACAATCAGCATCTCCAAGATGTACATCTCGTCACCTAGGGCTGATGAGGGTTTATGAATATTGTGGTTAGGGTTTAGGATTTGGGTCTTAGGGAATCTAGGCGTGTCAAAACCTCAGAACTCCCCATACCAGACCTTCAAGAATGAAATCAAAACATACACTATCCTATACCCTACACCCATACAGTACTTTAAATCCCAAGCCCTCATGGAGACTCGAATCTGAAAGGCTCACGGGATCAAGGGATGTAGACTTTCCCTAAGGGTTTAGGGTTAACCCAGCGGGTTCACGAACAGGGGCGGCTTCGATTCGTTTTTGGCCGGGATTTCGTGTTTTTTTCAGGGAGAGAAAAGGTTTCAGAAAGGTTATGTTCAGGTATGTTAGAATCAATTCTTGGTTTTACCACGACGTCATCCTGCAGAAGGACACGAGGCTCGTGAAGAGAAGGATGACAGTGGATGACTTTGCAGCTTGGAATCAATTGGTCGCTTGATATGAAGACTTCTTCCAGATTGCAACTCTTGAAACCACTTCAAGTTCATGCAGACTTGATTAGCAGCAGGCGCTGAAATCACATGAAGTTCATGCAGACATGACATGAATAGCAATAGCCTGGCACTTGTTCGCCGGAGTCATGTTGAAAGATGGTGCAATGCTGGCCTTGGCTTTGTGTGTTGCATAGTGATCCTTCGGCACGGGAATCTATGTCTTCCTCCGTGCTTGGGTCGTTGGCGCTTTGAGTCCTTGGAAGACCTGACAGCTCATTTTGAGTTGTTGAGCTCAGACCCAGCTGGCCTGTAGCAATCGCCCTATACGGTATGCTGACTCAAGACCGCCCGAGTCGCATGCGCGGACACGTGATAGGAGCATGCACTCTGCAGCTGAAAGAAGGGAGCAAATATCCTTTGTGCTTGGAGCCCAACTAGAAAATCTTTATAGACCGCTGCTTCTTGATGTTGGAGCGCCGCTTTGAGCGTTGGCGATGTGGGCTCAGCACGATCTGACGACAAGACGGCTCTGGTCCCCTGGCGCGAATGCTCTTCTGGCTGCGAGTGCAGAACACATGTTTGCTCGAAGTTCTTTCGACGACATGATGGCCGGCCGGAGCGCTGGCATTTTGAGCTCGTCATGTCGGAGAAGGTGTCGGAGCTGTGGACGCGGCAGTGCTGAGAATGGCACTTCTCGCTCGAGAACCGGTTGGCCAAAGGCGGTCACTGAAAAGGAGGGACATGTACGTCATCATCCTCCCCCCCCCAACACCTAACAAAGAAGTCTGAAAAAAGGCAGCAAATTAGGGGGCAGAAACATGCTACGCGTTCCTGACAGAATGTTCATCAGGTAACTTTGGAAATGTACCGAATGTGTCGTGCCTGCCACGTTTTCCATCAAGGCCTAGGTGAAGTCCAAGCAGCCTGGCCTAACAGCACCTGTAAAGCAGTGTAAAAGCGCCCTGTCCAAGTACTCCTCATTATCGGACTTTGGGGCCTTTCCGAGTACTAAAGACTACAAAAAAGGATTCCATGGACCCTCAGAGATTTGGCTTCGAAGAATGTCCCTGCGCACCCTTGGAACCAACGTAGACGCAATTCGTTTTGATAGCCCCGCAGAGCTTTGAGTTACAATGAACAATAATTCCTCACTATATAACGTTTCCGATGTTGTAACTTTCAAGGTGTAAGTAGAAGTACATTCATACTCGCTGGGGCCATTGAAGGCAGAATGACGAAATAAACACAACTTACGGTAGCAACACCTGTAGTTTACCGCTTCGGGGGTCGGATGCTCGGCGTTGGAGATATCGGGTCGCCAGTGCTCCTGGCCAGGTGTGCTTCGCCGTGCAAAGTGGCATATTGTGATGACTTTGATGCTCCGTTGCCAAAATTTCTCCCCGAGGTGCCTGTAGTGCACACATCGTTGCTGCCGAGACACACGAAACATCCAAGAATATCGCGACGACCATCAAGGAGACCAGAAGAATGCAAGGCCACGCGACCGACGGCTTCATAACTTTGCCCAAAACCTCCGTCGGGACTTGGTGACGGCTTGCAGCCTCTGAAACCTTCACCACTCAGCAGGAGCCAGAAACGGCCAAGGACCATGCACAGTGCCGAGGGAGACAGTGAGAGAGAGAGAGAGAGAGAGAGAGAGAGAGAGGGAGAGGGAATGTGAGAGAGGAGAGAGAAATCTTTTCTCCCTTCTGGATGGTAGCCCAAAGCCCTGAAGCTGTGCCTTTTCGCAAAGTTCCGACACATCGAAAGCCGCGACGATGGCGACCTCACACATGGGAGTTGCCTTTACTCACCATTGATATCTCTCTTTTCTAAACGTTGCTTTGTGAAACTTTTGCTGCATCTGTCACAATTCTCGCTATAGCAGTCCGAATTACCAGTGTTCTGTCCGATGTGGTGTGAAGCTTCGGTTAAATCTGTCACGATTATCGCTAGAGTTGTCCGGATTACCTGTATTCTAGTTGATGTGGCGGTCATTCCGGCAATTAATCCCCGTGGTCTTAGAAGAAGTAGGAGCAGCAGCAGCAGGAGTAGCAGTAGCACTGGCAGCAGCAGTTATGGAGCTGAGTGGGAGTAGGAGCATGAGCAAGAGTAGGAGGAGGAGGAGGAAGCGGAGAAGGCGTAGTCGCAGGAATAGGAATCGAAGTCGGAGTCGGAGTAGAAGTAGTACTAATATCAGCATTAGTATTACGAATACTAGTAGTAGTAGTCGTCGTCGTCGTAGTAGTAGTAGTAGTAGTAGCAGTAGCAGTAGCAGTAGCAGCAGTCGTAGTAGTAGTAGTAGTAGTAGTAGTAGGAGGAGGAGGAGGAGGAGGAGGGGCAGTACTAGTAATCGTTACATGTAAAATGTAAGTGCCGCACAGGCCCAATAGCAGCAAATTTTGTGGTAGCACTATAGTTGCAGTTGTCATTATTGTGATCTTCGCTGTCGCCTAACTCGTACCTAGTGTTAGTCGTCGTCATCGTCGTCCTTCTGATCCCTATCCTCGCCAAGTGGTTTGAGTCAACCCCACGTTTTGTTGTCAACGCCAGAGCCCCTGACCTTGCTTAGGAACGACGGGGCCCCATGGTGATGCAGGAGCACCATCTTCAAATTTAGACTTGCAGGTACGTTGGGGGGGGGTCCTACAAACTACATAAAGGATCCCATGGTACAAGTACGAGGGTCTATATTCGTAAAAGTCCCTCCTTTTCCGAACTCACGGTTCCCTATCCCTAGGAGAGCTGCACCCTGACTGCGCACAGAGGAAGTAGCCTTTAAGGGAAATCCGAAATCTACTGTAGGGTTCAGGTTTAGGGTTTAGGGTTTAGTTTAGGGCATAGGGTTTAGGGTTTAAGGTTTAGGGCCTTAGGGTTTAGGGTTTATAAGGTCAGGATCTGACATGTATTGTCTTGGTCGTACGATGATGAGCCAAGACTGTATGCTGCTTGAGTGGGGGTTAAGACTAGGGGGACCCTTGGGGATATAGACCCTCTCAATAAAGTCCCTTTCAAGAGAGCCAGAAGTAGGGTTCAGAAGGGTCCCCTTTAAGGGGTCTCCCTAATACTACCTAGGATTGAGAACCTTTACGACTTAGGTTCAAGTGTCTCGGTATTACGGTGAAAAGGCGTGGGCGTCGATATCGTTGCTGGACTTGCAAAAACGTTTATGATGGAAGCATGAACGGGGAGTATGAAAAGTATTGGTTCCATATCTACGTGTCACATACACTAAGGAACCTATCACTCACATCAGCCGGGTCTACAAGAGAAGCACGTTTGAAGTTCGGATATATTTCATGCAGAGGTCTCAATGATTAGAGCAGGGCTTTGGGTAAAGGGTTGTTGTTTATGTTCGATCAGGGGCTTGCGGCTCATTATTATACCCAACAGGCACGCATTCCTACGAGTTTTTGATACGGTTTGCAGCGATCTGCCATCAAACTGCCGGTGACCTCAAAGGACCAGTGCATCATTTTCATCGCAAATTCCACATCGCACTAGAAGAGACAGCCAACGAACTATGAAGATCTTGCGAGTATCGTAGGCTCGAGTCATGAACGGATGGTGGCACTGTCTTTTTATTCCAGAGCTCTAAGCCGTAGCCCTCATGGCAAGAGCATTCGCAGGCTTGAAGCAGAATACCCACTGTATTGACAAGAGCGATTTCGATGGCAGCATGGCACTGAAGCACTGCACAGATATTGCCGGCGTGTCCCGCACTGCGTCCGAGAGCCTCGTAGCAAAGCGCGTGCCTCATAGGATGCTGAAGCAGCGCTTGACATGGCACCAACTGCAGCATTGAAGCTGATCTCGTTCGGTTCAATCTTCATTCGGGGCATGACGGCCAGCAGCTCGACTGCACGCTGCCACTGAGAACCTTGACCACAAGCACTGATCACAGCACTGAAGCTGATGACGTCGGGTGAAAGATTTGATGCGGATATCATCTTGGCGAGTAGGACAAGGGCCATCTGCCATTTGCCGCTGTTTTCACAGGCGCTGATCAGCGCATTGAAGCTCACAATGTCAGGAACACATTGATGTGCAGGCATTACGGAGAGCAGTTGTAGCGCTCTTTCCCATTCAAAGCTCTTCTCACAAGCACTGATCACAGCGCTGAAGCTGACTTCATTCGGGTTCATCTTGAATTTGGGTATCTGCCAAAACAAGTCGAAAGCGGCCTGCCACTCTGAGCTCTTCTCACAGGCGCTGATGGCAGCACAAAAACAAAATAAGCTTGGAGCAACCTGCTGCACGAGCATGCGATGCAGCAGACTGAGTCCCTCTTGCCACTGTGCATCCTTGGCACAAGCGCTGATAGCTGCACTGTAGCTGTAAGCGTTCGGGGTCGTTCTGACCCTTTCCATCTCCAAAAGCAAGCTGAGACCCCCCTGCCAATGACTACCTTCTTCACATGCACTTATGGCTGCAGTGTAACTAATTACGCTGGGTTCAAGGTTGGCTGCCGCAATCTCGGGAAGCAAGAGCAAGGCCAGGTGCCACTGTGAGCCCTTCTCAAAGGCTGTGATCGCTGCACCGAAGCTGATGATGGTAGGAAAGACAGAGTCTTCATGCATCTTCGCAAGGAGCAGAGCTGCCATCTGCCATCGCATCGCATGTCCACAAGATGTGATAAGCGAATTAAAGCTGATGCTGCTCGGTGAGAGCCTTGCCGCCGGTATCCTTGCAAAGAGGGCAAGTGCGGTTTGCCACTGGGAGGCTTCTTGACAGGCGCTGACTGCCACATTCAGCACTGTCTCGTTGGCTTCAACTCTGGCACCTGGCATGAGTGAGAATATGTGGAACGCGACCTGCCACTGCCCACATTTCTCACATGCACTTAAAGCTGAGCTGAAGCTGTATTCGTTTGGGGAGACGTGCGCTTCTGGCATCTTGGCAAGCAGCTCTATCGCCAGCTGCCACTGGGCTCCTCTCTCGCAGGCACTTATCGCGGCACTGAAGCTGAACACAGCTGGTGACACGCTGGCCGATGGCATCTGTTCCAAGAGTTGTAGTGCTACGCGCCATTGCCGTGCTTTGCCGCATGCATTTATGGCACTGCACCAGACACGCTCATCCCGCCCGCGTGGTCCACACAAGAGCTGCAAGGCAGTCTGCCACATGGCTTCAGTGATGGGTGGAAGCCCTGGATTTAGCGCTTTGCAGCCCGAAACTACCTTTGACCCTTGACCCTTCAGATGCGGATCTTTACCTGCAAGGACAGCTCATGATTCGAAGCCTGCCGAAAGCTTGCCGAGTAATGCTAAACGCAATGCCCCTAAACCCTAGCCCTATAGGCCCTACACTACACTGCAGCGAAACCCCTCCAGACCTAAACCCTCACCTGACAACCAAGGACGACAGGTGGCGCTCGAGAAG